ACCACTATAAAGGCTAGATCTAAGAAACGGATACCAATGCTGAAGTAGCCAAATGGGCAAGAACCTCTGAGTTGGGAGTCTCAGAGGTACCACCAACCAGGCCACTGAATTGGACCAGAGGAAAAGAATATTAGGCTGACTCAATATACTGATAGACTGGTCATAGTCCTACACAAGCTAGCTGGATTAGAAGTTTGGTAAAAGAAGCAGAGGTATACTAAAGTACTAGGGATATGCTGTGAAGTAGGTACTGGAGTTTGTGTGAACTCTACAAAGGCATAGCAGTTTAATGGTTAGCTTTAACTGCAAGTGTTAGTTCTGCCATAGAGATATCTGGGTCAGTTGCAAAAATAGGTAAACAGCAAGCTCCGAAAGGTTTACCTTGAGGATAACTGTCCTAAGGTTGAGACGAAGGATCTAGGCTTGACCTGATGAAGTAATATGAGACAGGTTCAGAGAGTTTAAATGAAACATCCAAGCAGGAGTGTTAGATATGGCAATTGGTAGGGAACATTAGGCAGACTTTTTAAATAGGTAATATAAAAAGTTACACAAGTGGCTAATTGTATGCTCTTCTTGTAGTAGCTCTTTATGGAACTACATTTTTAAAAATATGTTAATAAAGTCGAAAGACTAAAGAAGTCACCTTAAAAAAAAAAAAAAAAATTAATTTATTAAAATAATAGTTAATAATTGCTAAATATAGTAATTGCATTATTAAATATAGTAATTTAATAAATATTTTTTAAAAGTCTATAACTAATTTTAACCAGGAGTGATTTCACCTAGATGATATCACCTATATATTTAATTTAATAGTCTATCAAATTATTTATTTTTATTAATTTTTTTTTTTTTATTACATCTAATCATACTCTCTTTTTCTATATCCAAATACACTTTTAAATAAAACTAACCATGATTTTTTAACACCTAACTACCAAAGTTCACATGTCATTTATTTATCATAAAGCCAAAGAAGTTCCATTACACTTCATCAGTTTTTACAGGTTAAGCATCGAATACATCGTTGTCATCATCGTTATCATTGTCATCGTCGTCATCGTCTTATTTCAATGCCTATAATCATGATCAAATAGATAGCTTATCGCTCTCTCACTTTAACATCTACAAACAGGATATTGCATTTAATTTTTCGCCGTCTTGTTTTAATACATACAAACTCGCCTTATCTTATTTTAGCTATGAACATAATATTGCAACCATTTCGTCATTTTATTCAAACACCTATAAGTACTATGATAATGTAAATACTTTGTCGTCACCTTATTCTGGCCCCTATGGATATGATAGTGCTATGTCAACCTATGTTAATTTCCAAAGCTCTAGTGATGCATTGACTGAATCAGATTTTGAGGCTTAACCGAAAGGTGCAAATAATAGGATTTATGATGAAAGGGAAAATAATAAGCATGAAGATAGTAAAAATGAGGATAAAGAAAAAAATAATTTATTAGTACTACGTAAAGAAATGAAGTTTAGTACATGGAAACTTGCCAAATCATACCTTACCAATTATGCAAAGCAGGAGGAGTTCAGCTTTCGAAAGAGAAGATGAGTTGTTAACTCTGATGACTACACCATAACAAGATGGCGAACATATGAATGTTCACATGCTCAGATACATGAACCTGAAAAGGCTATTCTGGCAGAAGATAGAAGAGACAGAGATTCTGAAATGATTGATTGTCCTTGGCACATTAATTTGGCATTCTCTAAAACAGAGAAAGAAGTTCATATTAACAGTATTTTAGGTGAACACAATCACGAAATGAACACTCTTGTTACTAAGATGGCATTAAAATATTGAAAGTTAACATATGAAATGTTTAAAAAAGTCAAATTTTGAACTATTTATAGAAAATTAGGCTTACCAACTCAATATAATTTGTTAGTTGCATCATTTCTAGGCCATGTTATTAATAGGAAAGATTTAAGTAATGCAATTCAGTGATTCAAAAGTCAGGTGAAACCTAGTAAAAATGATGCATGTAGAATGCTCAATGACTTATATTTAAAGAAAGAAAAAGATCCAATATGAATAGTTAAACCATGGTTTGATTCAGAGAAAAGACGACTTAACTTATTGTTTTGGATGGCTTCTGATCAAATTAGCACTTATGAATGATATCATGATGTTGTAGTCATAGACACAACATCCAAAACCAACCAGTTTGACATGATATTGATGCTATTTATAGTGGTTGATAACAATTTCAAAAATTTGATTGTAGCATCAGCAATTATTGAGGACGAAACTGAATCAACATTTACCTGGGTTTTGCAATAGCTAAAAAATTTATGTGAAATTGCACCTATAGTGCTATATTCTGATGCTGATCCTGCTTTACTATCAGCTGTGTGAAAGAACTATCTGGATATACGACATCTCTATTGTATCTTTCATATTGATTTAAATTTAAGAAAGAAGCTTAAGAGTACATTACATGAACAGTTCAGGCCTTTTCGTACTAGGTTTTTGGAGATATGTAACACTTTGTGCCATAAGAAATTTGAATCAAAATGGGAAAACCTTATTAATGAATATCCAGCATATAAAAGTTATCTTATGAATGTTTTATACTTATGTAAGACGAGTTGGATGAGTTATGCCATAAATTGATATTTTATTGCGAGAATTCAGAGTACCCAGTAAGCTGAAGTAACTAATAAAATTATCAAAGATAAACTCAACAGAACTTCACAGCTAACAGATGTTGTTGGAGAGATTCAAACAATATTTAATCAACAATCAAAAAAGGCAATATTAGCTAAGTGCAAAAATAAAATACCAATAAAAGGTATATCGACTATAATGGATGAATACTTCCCTGAGTTGGATAAGATGTTGAAAAAACATCTCACACTACAAATACTTCAGAAACAATGAGATCAAATGGCCCAGTCAATATGCTATGACACTGTATTAGTTGAGAATTGGTTAGCACTTCTAGAGGTAAGAATATTAGGTTAAAGTTAGAATTGAAAAGTTTGAACTTATTAAGTTCGAACCTATTACTAAATCTTTTTTTTTCTTTTTGCTTTAGACAACTGATGACTCTTATTAGAAAGAAATGGCCAGAGAAGATGACTATGATCAGCCTCAGTCTTTATTTCCTTCTTTGCTCGAAGATATACATTAGAATTGTGTTCAAGAAGTTTGGAAAATTACTAGACATAGAAGATAGCAAGCAGATCCGCAATATATTATCATACTCAATGACAGCTCACACTTGTACACATGCCTTTGGCTTGTCAATTGTGGCCTCGTGTGTAGACATTTCTTTCAGGTTATGTCTTATTCTGTTAATGCACAATTTCATATTACACTTATTTCTAAACGCTAGTACAATAATAGTAGAATTAATGAAGATGAGACATTTGTACTAATGTATCAAATTAAAAAAATTGAGTCAAATAAGTTGCCTCAACCATTATCATTTTAGTACCTTGTGAGATTTAAGTAAACCCCTAATGTTGTACAGTCACATAGTCCTAAACAAAGATATGGATTTGGTATAGGATATGTGAAAAAGATACTTGACTTGGCTATTCGTGCTAATAAAGTTGATGATTTTGTTAATAAAATTGAATGTTTTATTGAAAAAACTAAGAGGGATATGTTTGATCAAAACAAAAATGTCAATCTGACAAATGTTGAAGATGTTAGTGTTAGAGATCTGCTACGGGTACAACACAAAGGTCGACAACCTAAAAGATACAAGTCTGGTGATAAATTACTGAAAAAGATAACTGGAAATAAAAAGGGAGAAAGGTATTGCCAAAAGTGTAAACAAACTGGCCATTATGCTCCATGATGCCCAAATTAAGTAGTGTAACAATAGATGTAACAATGTATTGGTGTTATATGACTAAACATAGTAAAGAATTAAATAGCAGGTTAGTAGAGAACATCTAAATGCTAGCACTTTACTGATGTGATATATATATGTAAACTGTATATAGCAAAATATTTATAATAAACCTTTACACGTAAGTGCATACTAGCACTAGAATATATGCATATATAGAACACCAAATTTTTGGGTCAAGATTAGAGTTAGGGTTAGAATTAACTATACTAGTTAGCGAGAGCTATATGATAGTATTATTAGCTGGACAATTTTTACTTAATGAACAACTATCTTTTATACAAGATCAAGTGTTTATAGTTAAAATATAACAATATTCGGAAATGCATAGCATTGTATGTCCCAAGTTAAATAATCAATTGATTGAATTATAAATAAAGCTCATGATTGACAACCAATCAGAGATGCAGAAGCGAACAGATAGAATGCACATGACAGTGTTGATCAAATATAAATGTAAAAACAGTGTCCTCCACTATGCTCTAGACAAATTAGATATATAAGTAATATAGTGGGTTTACTAGAGCAGTCTTCAAAGTTCAACATCATAATCAATTAATCAATTATATGCTGTGGCAGCTATGACAATAATAGCAAACTTTGAAAAGCTGCTCTAGCAAACTTATTTGTAGCAACTGTGTAACTTTTAGAACACCCAATGTTAGCTATAGTACTTGTATATATGTATAATGTTCAATAAATAATATAAATAGTATAGTGGTATTATATATATATATATAATAACTTATAAAATATATATAGTATATATATATATAGGAATATTTATATAATATTATATATATAGGTGATTT